TATAAATGATTAGTAGCATGAGTATACGTGATACTAAATTTGACAAAAATAATTCAGTACTTGCTGGACAGGTATGCTTGCCACTAGACCATATCGGAATTAAAATCGCCTACATGAAGAGTATAAATGACACTAAATTTGACAAAAGTAATTCAGTACTTGTTGGACAGGTATGCTTCCAACTAGATTAAATCGGAATTAAAATCATCATTACTATGAGTACAATTAATACTAAATTTGACCAAAATAATTCAGTACTTGTTGGATAAGTATGCTTCCCACTAGACCATATTGGAATTAACATTGTCTACGTGATGAGTATAAATTTTACTAAATTTAAAACAAAAAATAATTCAATACTTGATGGATAGGTATGCTTGCCACTAGACAATATCGGAATTAAATTCATCATAACGATGAGTACAATTAATACTAAATTTGACAAAACTAATTCAGTACTTGTTGGATTGGTATGCTTGCCGCTAGACCATATCGGAATTAAAATCATCTACATGATGAGAATAAATGATACTAATTTTAACCAAATTAATTAATTACTGTTTGGTTAGGTATGCTGGCCACTAGAACATATCGGAACTAAAATTTAAATAAGATCGTGCAGAAATTGATAGTTTCTCGAAACATTTTTTTGCAGTATAATTTAAAAGAGTTTAAATATTATGTCGTCCTGAAAAACCCCCTTTCCCTTGACATATGGAGTAGACAGATTCCAAAAGAAGAAAAAACAACGCAAAGCTGAGGGAATAAACATCGACTCGAGATCAACAGTTCATAGACGATCATCGAATTAGGATATCGTGTACCTGTCAATCTGGGCGTTAATAATACTCGAAGAGTTCAACGAAGTACGGGAAAGGAAGAAACGCGAAAGGAAGGAAGATTGCACGCAACAAGTACTTAAGATTGTGGGAACGTGATAGGATGAACATAAAAGAAATGGTCCTTATTATACCCCTTCGTGTTATAATACCAAATACAAGAATCACACTTGTGGATCAAAAATCCCAAGAAGAGAAAAATTATTATCAATATTCTTGACTCATTTTTCAAACCCACATATTAAATTTATCTTTAAAAAATCAAGATAATGCAGTTTTCAAACCGAGATATTGAATTCATTTTCAACAAACCAAGGTACACACGAAGAGAACACAATTCACAAAGTATAAAGAAAGAACTGAATTGACGAACTACAAATAAAGCACAACAAAATGTACGACCGAAAAAAATGTAAATATCGTTTAGAGGAAAAGTAAAATTCTCTCAAACTAAATGTTTCGAGAATCTACAATATAAGAAGTTCTTGGAAACGAAGTCTTCTGTTTCCTCGTTTATTAAATAGAATGCACCTGCAGTTTGCGGTGAAACTAAAAGGGAGCACTAAAGCGGAGTTTCAGTAGCGATTTTTAGTCATAAAATATTAAAACCCAGTCTAGATAATCATTTAGTATTATTAGTGAATTTTCTGGGTCTGATAACGGCCTCTAATGTGTGTCATTAATTTGAACAGTATTGAAGCCGCCCCAATTGTATTTTAAGGCACCTTTAGATGTAAAGCATATTTTTAAAAACCTTTTTTAAAAGTCACTTTGTGCCATACAGGAACAAAATAACCTTTTATATTTTCCTAAAGAATTGATAGTTAATTAATTTACAACTGGAAGGGAACTGTTTTCTCGGAGTCCACTTAAATAATATTAAGAACTTGATAATTGTATTAATATTTCCTTAATCTCGAGAACAGTTTTTCCAAATCGCTCTATAATTCTTGATGTGCTCAAGTTGCGGTAATTAGGATAACGGGAAATGGCCTGCTAATACCGTCATATAGATTATGGCACGACTAGTGTTCAGGTTCTTATTAATGCAGCAATCTTGCATCTTACTCACATGGTGTACCTACACGCACAGTAAAGGACATTACCTTAGCCGAAGAGAGGACGTACTGGGTAAACGAGCAAACAAGTTACTTGAGAGTATATAGATAATGCGAGAGAGACGGGTATTAACTAAACAACTATTTCGAGTACCGTTTTTCCCCCTCGTATATGATTTAAAATTGTTCTAATATTGTTTAACTTGGGTAGATTCATATTCTTGAACCTAATCTCTTGTAAGTAGGTCGAAGGACGAGAAAAGTATAAATATAAATAGATTATATGTGTGGGAAATTTAAAGTAGATGGAGTAGTGGATTTATTACAGGACTTGTCAATTTCAAGACAAAGCTGGCAACTGATTCAAATCGTCCACTGTTGCTATCTAGGTAATTCGTTACGTAACTTAGTAGAGTCCTCCACTGTTGTAATCTAGGTAATTCGTGCAGTAAGGGAATAGATTTCTCATACGAATTAAGAGGAAGAGTTGATACGGTTCTCTTGAATGGCAAAGCGAGTGTTGTAGATAATAAAAATTCTGATAATAATAAAAATAATGATAACAATAATAATAGTAATAAAGATGATGGTAGTAGTGATGATAGTGGTAGTAGTAATGATAATAGTGGTACTAGTGGTGGTGGGCCCCCAAGAAGGTGTTTCGTCCCCTGCAAGTCGTTCTAGGATGTGTCGGAATACCGTTAGTTTGGCATGGAGGTCGTGCTTAGGTTTCTAACTGGTGGGAAACCTGCATCTCCACTTGCAGATTCCGATCGTGGACATTTGTCTCATGTTCCTTTCAATCTTGGCAAATAACTAATCCATGAATCTTCCGATAACGAGACATCTATTCATCAAAACACAATTTGAGGTTTATTCTTTTTGGTAGACACAAAATTTTTATAAGGAATTCCTTATTAAAGTGACGAAGGACTTTTGATTACAATCCTCTTCGTATAATTATAATTTCTCATTTGATTCAAACAAGTTTTTAGTTAATCCCACCATTCCTAATGATTCCCCTTCGCTTCTTTAAGGATTTCCGTAAAGAAATCCCTTTTTGAAAAATGACCCAAAGAGAAAAATATTTCTCTGCGTATACAGAAAATACTCAACTGCACTAAATTACGTTGTTATTGGACATCGGAATTTCAAAGATGCTCCAGTACCTTTCGGACAGGTATGCTTCCCACTAGAACATATCGGAATTAAAATCAGTAATAGGATCAGAATAAAATGTAGTAAATTTAAAAACTATTTTTCGAATGGATACGCTTGTTAGTAGAACATATCGGTATAAAAAATCACGACGAGTATAAGTGATACTATATTTGATAAGGATAGTTTAGTACTTGTCGAATAGGTATGCTTGCCAATAGAACATATCGGATTTAAAATTAGTAATGGGATCACAATAAAATGTAGTAAATTTCACGAGTAATCATAATCTGGAACTTTTCGAATACGTATGCTCGCCATTAGAACATATCGGAATTAGAATCAGAAATGCGTTGATTATAAAAGTTACTAAATTTAATAAGGATAATCCAATGAATTTAGAATGGGTACGCTTGTCACTAAAACATATCGGCAAGAAAATCAGTATTTTGATAAGAATAAAATGTAGTACATTTTCACAATCTAGTAGTTTTCGAACGGGTATGCTTGCCACTAGAGCATATCGGAATCCGCTAAATTAAAGTGTTGAAAGGACTTTAGATTGCAATCCTCTTCGTTTAATTATGAGCTCGAAATTTTTGTTGCGAATAAGTTGTTACTTATTCCTTATTAGATAATCCCACCTTTCTTAAATATTTCTTCTCATTTCCTTAGGGAAAAGCTTTTTTAGAAGAGGACCCCGAGAGGGAAATATTTTTTCCATGTGCCCAGAAAAATTATTTGAGTATAATAAATTACTTTGTTATTGGATATGGGAATTACAAAGATGGTCCAGTACCTGTCGGACAGGTATGCTTGCCACTAGAACATATCGGAATTAAATTCAGTAATGGGATCAAAATAAAATGTAGGAATTTTCAGAAATAAATTTTCATAATCCACAACTTTTTGAATAGGTATGCTTGCCACTAGAACATATCGGAATCAAAATCAGCAATTCGTAAAGTATAAAAATTACTAAATTTAAGAAGGATAATATAGTATATTTACAATTGGTATGCTTGTCACTAGAATATATGGGAATTAAAATTAGTAATCAGAGCAGAATAAAATGTAGGGAATTTTAGAAGTAAATTCTCAAGAACTTTCCGAATAGGTATGGCTTTGACTAGAACATATCGGAATTAAATTCAGTAATGGGATGAGTATAAAATTTAGTAACTTTATCAAGGGTGATCCAGTACTATTATAATAGGTATGTTTGCCACTAGAACATAATTATGGGAATAAGAATCATTAGTAGCATTAATATAAATGGTACTAAATTTGACTTGCCACTTGCCACTAGAACATATCGGAATAAAAATCAGCTCCATAAAGATTATTCTATTTTTTACACCTAGATTATTTATTGCAGACCAAGGATACTGTAAATATAAGGTTCTTTAAGGGCATGTTATTCAGTGTGACGTTTTTCCATAGTAAAGTACATGGGGCACGTGACCACTGAATAACATAACCTTAAGAACTGGGAGATCCTCGCAACTTTCCTTTTGAAGATTTTTGTTTAGAGGTAGCTTTCACGCAATATTTTTAGTGTTATATTACATTTCCTTTTTATTTTATTAAATTAGAAGTGACGGAGGGACTTTCGATTGGAATGTTCTTCCTTTGGTTATGGCTTGTAACGGAAAGATAAATGAGCTTCCGGGTAAATTATCTACAGAGTCACACCCTTGTTGTAAGATCGAATAGGACAGGATTCCCTTCTGTCATCGAGTTTTATATCTATTTGATCCTCCTCAGAGTAGGTTTTTGCTATACCACAAGAAAAGTTCCATTGGAAAAACGACAAAGAATGAAGATAACAAGGAAAAATGAAATAACTGAATTAAATTCACAAAAGTATATTTTACATGTCAATTTTAACTTTTGCGGAATAATTACAATTCTTGCTTAGTCTTTTCTTTCTTCTTCTTTTCAGAATGGAGACCTTCCAAGAAGCTGGAATTCAAATGCTGAGGGAATTCAGAGCACTGCTGCAGCATTCGCCCCTTCCACTTCCGGGAACTCGACTTCTTCAACTACTGGCACTAAATATGTTCGCGATTGAAACAACTCAGCTCAAGGGTAAGTTTTTCTCTTATTTTTGCGTCGAGGTTGGGATTTCTTTCTTTCTTTTTTTTTGAAAAGAAAGATCTCTCTTGTTGAATGATAGTAGTTGTTTGGGGGAGGGGAAACAAGGGGGGAAGATAAGTAATTTTCACTTAGCTGTATTAGCAATTGTTATTTGCCCTTCGTTGTTGGTAAGCGAAAAAGGTTTCCTTTAACAACAGGGATAAAATTGTTGATAATGACCTCTTCTGATAAAGGTATATAATTCAGGAAGCAATGAATGTAGACACGCTAAGAAGATGAACGCCTGAGATCGAATGTAAGCATATACTTAACATCAGGAAACACGTAACCATTTCCTGGAAATAGTTTGCACTTTGCGCCCCAACACTGTCGGGTTCGTTACATCGATCGAAGATATTGATTCAATTATGGATTCAGGAATTCCGAGTAAATTCTCTTTTTCTCTATATTTAAAATTTTTTTCTTTCATTCTTTTATTCTCTCTGCTTTTTTCTTGTCTCTCACTTTTGTTTCTTTCTTTTTTGAAAAAAAGAGAATAAAGTCGATAAATGAAAATCATTTCAGTGGAAAGTCACTTTAGTGAATGAAACAATTTCTGAAGATTAAAAGTGTATGCGAGTTTACGTTGGATATTCCATTTTTAGAATTGTATTCATTGGCTATTGTGACTAGTAAACCTGTCTCGTAAATTGTTGTTAAGTACTGAGAAGGCTTGCCAAAAGTCGTTTTTATTCAGACTGAATATTTTCTTGGGTTTAATCGACATTTTCCTTTTCGACTTCAAAGTTCCTACTTTACCTCGGGAGTTGTCCTAAACAAAAACGGAATTATTAATCCCCTATTTCTATTTTGCATCTGTTTTGTTGTCCTTAATAGAAAGAAGACCTAATGACCCCTGCCAAAGCTTAGTGAATTGTTTTAAACAGAAAATAGATTAATTAATACCCTTTAACTAGATCTAAGTTGCCTTAAATTAGGCTATTAACCCCCTCCAACGTCTATTAAATTGTCCTTCACAAAAAAAGACGAACCCTAATAAATAATATTGAAAACAGGTATGCTTGCCACTAGAACATATCGGAATTAATATCATCAAGAGGATGACACTAAATTTGACAATTATAATTCAGTACTTGTCGAACAGGTATTTTTGCCACTAGAACATATGGGAATTAAAATTAGTAATGGGATCAGAATAAAATATAGTAAATTTCGCAAGTAAACTTTTATAAACGAAAACTTTTTGGAATAGGTATGCTTGCCACTTGAACATATCGGAATTCAAATCGAGAAAATCATTATTATCATGAGTATAAATGATACTAAATTTGGCAAGAATAGTCCAGTACTTTTCGAATAAGCATGCTTGCTAGAAGAACATTTGGAAATTTTTGGCACTAATATGATAACACTAAATTTAAAATAATAACCTAGTCCTTGGCGAACAGGTATGCTTGCCACTAGACAATATCGGAATAAAAATCATCAATAAGATGAGTATAAATGATGCTAAATTTGACATAGCTTTTTTAGTACTTGTCGAATAGGTATGCTTGCCACTAAAATATATCGGAATTAATATCGTCTACATTATGAGTATAAATGATACTAAATTTGACAAAAATATTTTAGTACTTTTTGGATAGGTATGCTGACTACTAGAACACATCGGAACAAAAAACAATTAGTTTATGTTTATTTTTTTTAATAGAAAGGGTGGAAGGAAGGGAGTGTGATTAAATTTTAAAGTTACGTTAGATACCTTAATAAAGAAGTACATTTTTAAAACGAACATATTTTTTTGAACTGTTTGATATTTATATTTGTTTATGTCTGACATTGTTACAAAGCTGACATCTATAATTTTAAGGCATTTGCTCAGATTAAAAAAACCCCTTTTTAAATATTAAAAAATGAAAGGAAATTATAGACAATATTAAACATTATGATTAAATTACTTTATTACTTTACTTGCCATTTAAAAAAATGATCTGATCCTTTTGCAAAGCGTATTCTTGCCACTAGAACATATGGGAATTAGAATAATTAATATCATGAGTATAAATGATACTAAATTTAACAAAGATAGTACAGTAATTGTTGAATAGGTATGCTGGACACTAGAACATATCTGAATGAATGTCATGAAGAAAATTATACTAAATTTGACAATAATAATTTAGTTCTTGTCTAAAAGGTATTCTTGCCACTAGATCATATCGGAATTAAAATTAGTAATGGAATCAAAATAAAATGTAGTAAATTTCACAATATAGTTTTATACAACAGAACTTTTTGAATAAATATTAAAACACATGGAAAGTAAATGTTTAGTAACATGAGTAGAATTAGTAATAAAATTAATAAAGCTAAATCAGTACTTTTTGAATAGGTCTGCTTGTTATTAGAACATATGATAATTTCAATCATCAATAGGATGACACTAAAGTTGACAATAATAACCTAGTCCTTGGCGAATGCAGGTATGCTTGTCACTAGAACATATCGGAATAAAAATCATCAATACGATGAGTATAGTTGATACTAAATTCGACAAATACTAGTTCAGTATTTGTCGAATTGGTATGCTTACCACTAAAACATATCGGAATTAAAATCGTCTACATGATGAGTATAAATGATACTAAATTTGACACAAATAATTCATTACTTGTTGGATAGGTATGCTTACCACTAGACAATATTGGAATTGAAATAATGTATATGATGGAGTATAAATGATACTAAATTTGACCAAGTTAATTAATTACTGTTTGGATAGGCATAGTTGACACTAGAACATATCGTAATTAATATCGTCAACATGATGAGTATAAATGATATTAAATTTGACACAAAGAATTCAGTACTTGTTGGAAAGGTATGCTTGCCACTAGAACATATCGGAATTAAAATCAGTAATGGGATGAGAATAAAATTTCCTAAATTTAACAAGGGTAATTCAGTACTTTTTGAATGGGTATGCTTGCTACTAGAACATATCGGAAAAGGGGAGATGGGCAGAATTTTAAGATTAGGTTCATTTCCTAACTTTCAGAAAGGCTGTTTTTGGCATTCGCCCCGAGTTAACTCCGGATTAATGGTGATTGGTTAGATCCAACAGAAGGTTATTGATGATTGGATATTCGTTAATTCGGGGCTAGTGCCGAAAACAGTTAAAGGAAGCTAAGTGTGTAGGCTGTTTTCGTTTTACGTTCGAATCTCATTTAATTGCAAAAACAACTTAGACAACCCTCAGAATAACGAAAAAAGTATCTCCTTCCAAGAGAACTAATTCAACTCCCCGTTATAATTATTATTTTTTTGTTTGATTCCTTTTTCTCGAAATAGAATATTTGGCGTCAGAGTATATTAAAATTTTCTTGTGTACTCCCGTATGTGTGAGTATGTGCGGGTATATATATAGAAAGGAGGTAGCAATTAGCGTACGGCGCCTGTCTCGAATGCTCAATGACTTGCGTAATCGATGCGTGTGTGAGTGTATATGTTCCTAGTTGCACCAGCAGCAGAAGCAGCAGCGGCAGCCACATTTGCTTGGTTATATGCTACACGTCTCAAGAGAGTCGGCATTTAGTAGTATCTTCTTTCAACTTCTTCGGAAGCCAAGAGAGGCGCCATTGCCATTGATTTATAAACTGCAGTTAATCGAAAACATCACTTCCTCGATGATCAAATTGACGATTATGCGCTGGGCTCAATTTGCAATAATCATTTTTATTCCAAAGTTTATATAAATTTTTCTTTTGAATCCTTTTATTAGAATTTATTCGTTTTGCCTAATTTTTCTCTTTGATTATTAATTTTTGGTTATATATTTTTAATTCGTTTTAATTCGTTCATTTATTAATTTTTATTTCTAGTATATTTAATAAAAATTGAAGGTACTAGAGATAAAAAATTAGTAAATTCGATCAAGACTGAGGTTTAAGTAGTAAACAAGTCCATCGAGTTGTTTGCGGTCTGGTATCTTGTGTCAATTATTTTGAGGTTATACGCTTCTTTTTTTCTACTCTTTGTTCGGTGGAAAAAAATTAACGTTTGACGTGAAAATACTTTTTGCTTAAATAAACAGAGAGAGAAGGTTCTTCTTAATTTGAAAAGTATAGATAGGGATCAATATCGCTGGAGGAATGGCGCAAATCTTTATTAAAATAGCCTCTGAATGCTGATTTTTCAATAGCCAATATATGTGGATTTACAAGTTATATACAACCAGTTTCCTATAAATAGTGCCTTCTACGGGAGGGTTGTTTTATTATTCCTCTTCTTTCTTCATCTTCTTCTTCTTCTCCTTCTTCTTTGGCTAACTTCCTTCATTCTCCTTTTTTCATCGCATACTTGTGCATTCTATGACATTTAGAGTGTAACCTCCGCAAAATGATCATTTTACATCTTGTTTTGCACGCTATTCAATTTTCTCGTACTAAAAATAACTCGAAATTTAATTGTCCACGAGATGAAGAAAAGAGGAAGGGAGGGAGGAAAACAAATTTTATTTAATAACAAACCTCTCTTCGTGTCTATAATGATAATTTCCTGTTATTGAATATAATGGAAGGGAGAAAAGTGTTTATTTTAACCAAACTGTTTGACTAAATAGGTTCGGTGGAATATTTTGTTTTGTATTTAAACTTTTTTCTTGTATTTAAGTAAATATTTTCTTGGGGAAAAGCGCTAGTGCGCTGGCGCCATTACAATTCTCTTATTGGTGGATAAAAGCTGCGCGATTATTTAATTAATAACTAAACGTCTATTTCAGCGTTGCATTTTTTGCAAAGGTTTTTTTTTGTATCTGAGCTAATACATTAATAAAATTGATGACAGTTTTGAAACAAAACTAAACGTCAATTTCAACGTAGCAGTTATTGCAAGGTGTTTTTTTTTAAATCTGAGCTATCGACTTCAAAAACTTGATGACAGTTTTGCACCAACGTGAAACAAAACTAAACGTCAAGTTCAACGTTGCATTT